GCATTGGCCAACCAGTCTTCCCCTACTAAGTTCCCACACGAACCGGGGTCCACTCATAAACCTATCCTACCGTTGGCTAGCTTGACGCTGCTGTGGAAGGAGGCCTGTGATGGCACTGCTGAGTCGGTCTGCTCCTCGTGGGATTCAACAGGCCACCAGAAAAATGACTGGAATCCGGGGTGCGGAACTCGTCTCTGTCAGGACTGGCCTCAGAAGCGGCTGCCTCACCTCGCGGACCTGTTGGAGTGGCAGGAAGGCTATTAGTCTCAGGCTCTTCTGGATTGGCATTGTCAGGTTGAGCGGGTAGCTGCGGGTAACGCCAAGAACGCACAACCTGACCTTCAACACGGCAGCTTGGGCACACGAAGGAAAGTGATCCTTCCTCGTTCACACTGGCTCCCATGTGAACGGCCATCTCACCTATGCAAAGGCAATGATGGCCATGCACACTGCACAAGTAGACACAAAACCTTGGAATGTCCGGGCAGAGGTAAGATCGGGCTCAGCTGATGGCGAGCTGTGACTGGCAGAAGCTTGCTCTCTCTCATCACGTCTTCTGGAACCACGAGCCTCGGAGGCAGTGCTCCTCAGCGCATGGATCTGAGAGAACAGCGAGGCTGCGCCTATGGCAGGAGATGGCTGTGCAATGGGAGGCGGCTGCAACTCCGAAGGAACAGGCACAAGACTGCTGCTGCTGCTGGTCAAAGTGGCAAATGCGGGAGGCACCTGAACCTGAGGACCTATGCCATGACCTGTGCTGCGAGGCTGTGCGCCGCTCGCGGCTGCTGCAATGTGGGAAGCCATGGTGCTGTTTGTACTCATCATGTTGGCCGGCAAACTTGGAGGGCGTTCAAGCCAAGTACTTCCGTGAAGGATTGAGTAATGCCTATGTTGGGGAGACCCGGATAAGCCCAGCTATTGGAACTATAAATATCAATCCCCAAGGGAGTACTCGGAATTGCTGGCATGTTGGGATGATCTGAAGGCGCAGCTGATGATGGAGGTGCTGATGGCATTGCGCTTTCCTGCTGCTGTTGATTCAACCAGGTCATCCAAGGATCGGCTTCCCTCATCCAAGGGTCAGGGGTGAGCTCGTGATGCTCGGCAGTCTGTTCAGGCATAGGGGTCATTGGATCAACAGGCTGTGGCTGTGCTGTCTGACGCGTTGCTTGGGCAGAATGCAAAGATGATGCCAATGACCTGGGCGTGTGCACATAGGACCATGAACCTTCAGACTCGAAGGCAGCGAAATGGAGACCTGAAGTGGCTTCGACCGTGAACGATGGACCTGACCTGGAGGATGCACCTGGGGCATTCTGGCTGCTGCTGGCTGCCTGTGAGGATCCCTGGCTTGGTCCATCCTGTCGCCTAGGGCAGGTGGTAGGCAGAGCCACACACGCTACACTTAAGGGGTTCTCCATCTCGGCCTATGGGGTTACCCTTACGTCCAAAACCCTTACCCGAACTTCTACCTCCTTTACCCTTACCTTTAAAGTAGGCAGATTGTTGCAGGATCTCGGCGAGGTTGACGTAACTAGTGCGGGTCTTAGCTTTTCCCCTACCCTTACGCCTAATGACCTTACGGAGGGGCACGGACCGGTTTGCCGGTAAACCGGCGCCATCGGCGCTTTGCATGCTGGTACTCACCGAACAAGTACTCGTCGGCCTGAGCACTGCTCATGCCTTGCAGGTCTTGCACATTCATTGGTTCATCATTGTCTGATGAAGTTGCAGAATCGGTATCTGAGAAACCTTCACCTGCCTGCACAGAAGCAAATGCCCAATCAGTGGCTCCCGGCTGGGGGCCAAAACCTGAGGCACCTAAACCACCTGCTGCTGCTTGGCTTGCCCAAGGATCTTCAGTGGCAGATGATCCTGTATCAGCTTCGGCAACAAAGGCTTGCTGGCGCGGCGGACCTGAGCTGCGAAGACCTGAAGCGATGTTGCGCGGGTGCCTTTCCACAATGTGACCCATCCGCCGTAAATGATGACACATCTGGAAAAACTCAGATTCAACATTCGGCATCCGCAAGCCGAAAGGCTGTGTGAGTGATTGAAACTGATCAGAGTTGACCTCGCAAGCTCGAAGCAACAACAAAGATGCCGTTTCAACGCTTAAGGTACCTCCACCTTCTGTGCGCGCCCGCTGGCGCGTTATCTCGAAACGAGATATCAAAGCATCAACTGATTCACCAGGACGGCGTGAGAATGCAAGAAGCTCCTGTGTAGCTCAGAAATCGGCGATCTCTGTCTTTGAGGTAATTGAAAACGGAACCATTTTCCAGCTTTCCTGGATTTCCTTCCGTTTGGGGATGAATTTCTCGGGAGATTCTAGGGGCTCAGAAAACGGCGATCTCTGTCCTAGAGGTAATTGAAAACGGAGCCAATTTCCGGCTTTCCTGGATTTCCTTCCGTTTGGGGATGAATTTCTCGGGAGATTCTAGGGGCTCAGAAATCGGCGATCTCTGTCCTAGAGGTAATTGAAAACGGAACCATTTTCCAGCTTTCCTGGATTTCCTCTGGGGATGAATTTCTCGGGAAACTCTAGGGGCTCAGAAAATAGCGATTTCTGTCCTAGAGGTAATTGAAAATGGAGCCATTTTCCGGCTTTCCTGGACTTCCTCCCGTTTGGGGATGAATTTCTCGGGAGATTCTAGGGGCTCAGAAAATGGCAATTTCTGACACTTCAAATTCTCCTTCTATTCGGTTGCATTAGGTCGTCCGTGCTGTGAGACTGACCCTTCAAATTCTCCACTTTTACAGTCAACAAATGTTGTTTTTACGCATGTAAACAACTAGAACCCCACAAGAATGTGGGGAATAATAGAAAATGATAAAAACATGGTGAGAATGATAGAAAACGATAAAACGAATTAAAAAATGATGAGGATGATCAAACATTAGGAAGATAATAGAAACATGATGAGAATGATAGAAAAATGATAAAGCATAATGAACATGATGAAACATGATAAAAACATTAGGAAGATAAAAGAAACATGATAGACATGAATAAAAAGAAAATTATGGACAAGAATGAAAGATGATGAAAATGATGAAAAATGAAGAAAGTGAGGAAGAATGATGAGAAATGAAGAGCAATGATAACAAATGATGACAAATGATGAAACAAAAGAAATAATGAAGAAAAAAAAATAGAAAATGAGAAAGCATCATGAAGAAACATTATGAACATGATGCGAAATAATGAAATATTGCAAACTGATGAAAGATGCTGAAAAGGAAGAAAATGCTGGAAAGACAATGAAAACGATAGAAAAGCATGGCCCTAATGCTGATGGAAAACGAAGACTGAAAAATAATGAGAAGAACATGAAGCACAGATGGCATTTAAAAAAGGTCGTGTTCATGCAAAACGCCTAATAAAAAGTTAGTAGGAATAACACGAACAAGAATTATGATAATAATGATATTAATGATAATAATCTAGTAGTAATAGTAATAAGAAGAGCAATAGTAATAACAATAAGAATTTTTGTTAGTAATAGTAATAATCATAGCAATAATAAAGACATAGGTATAGGTGCTAGCAATAGTAGTAGTAACATAAACGAAAGGTTCCTCGGGCATTGTGTTGACTTTTCAAACAAAGCGGGGGCGGTTGGGGGGGGCGCAGCCCCTCCCCCCATTTGCATCACAAAGCCAAGAATCCGGAGGCCAACAAACCAAGAAACCAGGAACTTGAGAAGGCAGGAAGCCGCGAAGCCATCCAAAAGGACAAAAAATCAAAAAACAAAACAAGTCACTGAAAAAAAAAGGCAGTCCGTTAAGAACCCTTATTGTAACGTGGGAATGACCCAATGTATTCTTAATAACATAGTAAGACAAACAATGGCTATAGGGATGGTCTCAACAAGAATGCGATTGATACTATCAAAATACAAGTTATTTAGAATGCTGGTAAGGATATGAACTGTAGGAATACTATTATAATAACAATACAATAACAATAACAACTAAGTACAGTAGGAGTGATCATAACAAGGGTCTTAATAAGAATAAAGATGATAATAATAGAAGTAAGAGAAATGATAAGAGTGTAATAAGAATAGTAGTAGAATTCATAATAAGGATAAGAATAATAGTGATGATAATAATGAGCACAAAGAATGTTAAGAATAGGCAGGATGAGAACAGTAGCTAATAAAGCAGCAAGCCAAGAAGCCAGGAAGCCAAAAAGCCAAGAAGCCCGAAAGCCAGGAAGCCACCAAGCCAGAAAGGCCAAAATGCGAAGGCACTCCACGCCAGAGCCACAAAAAAAATGCAAAACACACAAAAAAAGGTCGCAACAAAAAGGCACTCCAAAACTTAGGCGTGGAAGACTATGTATAGCAACTTATCCACTATTCATATGATGTTGATAGGCATGCGCTCCTTTTTCTTCTTTCGGTCCTTTGTTTTTGGAGAACCTTTGTACTTCCTTCAACCCATGAGGATACAGGGTACCACATCCCCGCTCCATTGGGGTCCCTCGCTCTTAAGTGTCACAGTGCCGATCCACCCTCTCCTCCTTTTACATATGTTCTTACAGGGGGGGGCTCGACCTTTTGAAAAACTTTGGTTTTAACCAAGGGAGGTCACCTCAACTCATGGTATGGAATCCTTTCTTTCATGGGGGTACTAAATACACCCTTTTCATGTGGGGTATCTGAAGGGGGATTTCTTGGTCCCGCGCCCAGTACATTCGCAAGAAGCCATGCATCTTTCCCTGCAGCCACAATATTGGCTGTGCTTAACACAAGCCTTACATTTAGGCTGGCATTGTCACTTGCGCGGTCTACCACAGCTGGCAATGAGGGATGGCGCCCGAGTTTTTGCCTGCCACCCGAGCTGAGATCTGAGCCCACGCACCCGGGTTTGACTTAGTGTTCAGGCCATGTCGATGCAACACCAGACCGTCTTTGACGTCAGTGATTTGTCACCATAATACTTCAACCTGCTGAACATGTGCCCCAGTCACATCCCTCTGAGCCCTCGCCCTAATGCACACTCTCGCCATGATCCACTTCCATACTCATGAAATGCTGCATGCGTGATGGACTCAAGACTGGCAGCTTGCGCTGTATGAATTGAGGGACTTCCTTCGTCACCTGTGGACCGGTCTCAGCTGTCATCTGCGCGTTCAGCCGTGGCAATCGCACCCCATGGCTCATTCGCAATCGTTCGTTCTGCAGCTGCACCCCAACCGTCGCCATACCCAGCTCGCGGCGCCGAATCTTTTCCAGGTGATAGGTTCTAAGCTCCAGCTCAAGCTCTCGAATCTCCCGCGATAGCAGACCACGTCTTTCGAAAAGCATGCTCTTGCTTGGGACATGCCTGGCAACACTGTCCAACTGTTGTGCTTCACTCAGTGCCCGTTGCAGGTTCCTCTCCAGTGCAGCCAGACCGGTATCTAGCCCTTGCGCATCCAACAGCCGAAGTGGGCTGATGCCAAATGCAGTCCGAGCAATGCTGAGTTCCAGTTTCTTTGGGTCCACTTGTTGCCGGACGTGCAGCCCGACTCTGCATCCGTTGCCACCATTCGCATTTGCCAGTTCCATTGGTTGCCTGCACAGCCAGGTCGGCAGACGCAGGCTGCGAACAGACTTAGCCATCCGGCCTCACCAGGGCCAGGACTTCTCCGGGGGACTCTCGCCTCAGCTTGCCGCGCACAAGAGCTTGCATCTGGTGAAGCCGTGGTTCGGCGCCGTGACATATTGGTGCCATGCGTGATCAACATGCATGCTGATGCATGCTGGGACCTTTTGCTCCCTTGCTCCAGTGAGGTGCTCACAAGCTATCGGTGTGCTGCGCGCTCAGGATAGCTGCAACTGGGGCCGGGATCGTCGCACAGCTCAGAGAGACGGCCTCAGTGCTGCAGAGGATTGCAGCAGTGCCGAGAGGGAGCAAAGAAGAATTTGTGGTGGAGGCACGCGAAGGCCTTGGAGATGGTGATCTTGTTCTCTACCTTGGCTCTTTCAGCACAGCACACCAACATGTTTGGCACGCAATCTAGACCTCGAGATGATGACTCAGGAAGCCACTGCACGGAAGTACTCGTGGTGCGCTCCAAACATGAGTTTCAATATCTTGCCAGACTCCTGTCATCGCTGTGGCTGATTGGGGAGGCTTGATCTGGCATTCGGTCCTGATATATCGGCACTAACCTGGCGCCTAATTTCTGGCGGACATCCTGTGGGGCGTCAACCTTCCATGGACCGCTCGCACTTTACACCTCGAGGCCCTTCTAAAACAGCATGCTTTGGTTTTACTCTACACAGCTGCGACGCCTTTTTGGTTGAGGGGCCATGTCCAAGCATCTCGAGCAGTCGATCTGCCTTCAACGGGTCTTAGGCAGCATTTGCTCTTGAGAATCCCTGGACGTTGTTTGCCTGGTGTTCGAGCGTCCAGGCAAGCGTCCCACTCGGACCAGGGAAGTATGCCTCCGCAGCGATCTGTTTTAGTGTGGTGGGTTGACTCACGCATTGCCAAAAACATCTGCCTTGCGCTGGTAGTCCGTTCTCAAATCCAAATATCTCAGCTCATCTTGCCACTTGCCAGCCTTTCATGCTGCTCACCATCGCGCACGCACTTCACGTGTTCATCTCCGTGCTGTGTACTCATGGCGGATGCTAATGTCAAAGGCCGCCGTTGCTGCACATTGTCTCTACTGTCCTGAGTTCAGGGAACTGGCCTGTTTGCTCCAGTTCTGCAGGTGTTCCCAGAGTCTGTCGCAAAGCCAGTGCTGGGGTCCAACGACTCCACCCTGCAGGCGGAGAAATAAACAAAGCTCTGCCGTGCAGCCCTGCTTCGGCACCTGTGATCTCATGAACATTGCCACAAAACGTTGGCCTCTTGATCACCTATCATTGAAAGCAGCCGCTTCGCATCGGTCTCTTTCAGAACCTGCTGGGCATGTCCAATCTTGCCACGGGGTGAGGGATCAAGCAAACAAATTAATTACTTTTTTGATAATCCCTACAATGGCCTACAGGGTCCCTGAAAATCTATCGGCCACGGAAGAAGCAACGAGTACCTTCCAAACTACAGAATCTATGTGCGTCAGGCGTAGCCCCTGTGCGACTATATATTTGCTGTTGTAGGGTTGGGGCTGCCTTTCTGGAGCACCAAATCCTGCATCTGGTGGAAGCCGACACAGTAAGAAAGATCCAACTCATGAAGCACATGGATTTCATGCAGAGATCGGGGGCTGGGCTTGCTTAGTTTTTAGTGCGCCTGGTCATCGCGGGAGGCTCTATTTCTCTCTTGCGCTCAGTTCGTACCGGCACTCAACCAAGACAACGAAACTTCTTGCAGAGTGAAGAAGAGGCTGCGCAATTAAGGATGTGCTGCCAACCCAACCTGGATGGGACGATGTTACTTGGACTGCAGTCTGCGGAACCACAAAGCGGGCACGACAACTTCCGACACCACCATACACTGCTACCAAGTTATCCATACTTGAGAGCCACGGGCTGGGACGAAAGCTCAATAATGGACAGGAGTGGCGAGACAGACCATATACAACCAGAAGAGCACGCAGCCCAGCCCTCACTGCCCATTCAAGGAACTGCAACCCTCCTACAGAAACCCCGCCATTAAAAAAAAACTCCAAGATCCCCAAGACCCCGCAAGACCCCCCATTTCCCCAAAATCACCCCAAGATCACCCAAGACCTCCCAACAGTCCCCCCAAGATGCCCCCAAGAATCTAGCCCAAAAAGGCATCCCGCGCCACCACCCGAAAATCCGCCCGGTGCAGACAAGCTGCAAAAGCCAGTCAAAATTGCCCCCGCCCAAACCCCCTCCCCCATGATCCCAGGCTCACTCCGTGAGGTACTAAACGAAGCCCACACAAGGAGCTTTCGTGACTAGCGGACTGCAGAAAATGTAACAAGGGCTTGAGGGGGAGCGGGGTGGCCTTCCTCTACTGCATCGTTTTGGAGGGGTGCTGGATCCTTATGGGGGTGGGGCGGGTGGGACCCACGAAACGCTCAAAACATCTCAAAATACATGCTGCTGGCAGCATGCGAGCGACCCAGGCCAAACCTCGCAACTGCAAATGTTGAATGGTTTTAACATGTTTCAATCAAGGGCCTTTGCACGCATTTTCCGCACCTTGGAGTATGCTACCATTGTACACCACTTTGACCACCTTTAACCCAACAGGTATGGACTTTCATGGAACATGTTGGCCAAAACCTGGTAAATCTGGTAAGCATGCGCTGGAAAATCCATGTTCAACGTGCTTTGGGTGGCCTGTCTTGGATTTTCTGCCTAAAGCCGGATGTGCTCAGCATGAGGTTGGATGTATGCTAAGGGTTTAGGGGTTGGATTGCTTTGGAACAGGTAGGGTTCTGTAGGCTGTCTTTAGGATTTAGGGTTTGGCCAACCATTTGGGGTCTCCATCGCGGCTAGGCCAAGGTCCTGGCATATGGGGTGTCTGAAAGGCTAGCATAAAGCGAACGCTATCGGACAGCACAAGTTGCGAGAAACTCCGCGACTTCCACACTTGTGCAAACAATACGTGTTAAGGGGCCAACTCAAATGGATACATTGCCACCTTCCTTCCTTTTCCTAGCTGGCTGGAGCTGCTAACCCCACATGCCCCACCAAGCCAAGCCAAGTGAAGTATCGCTTCGGGTTGTCGGGTTTGTGTTTGCGAATGGGCCTTGTGGATGCCACGCCGCTCCTCGCAAGCTGCATCCAACTTCTTCAGCTCTGCCTTGCAATCGGGGAGAGAAGATCAAAGCACTGTGCGGAAGAGGCCGAAGATCTATCGCTCATTTCGCGCCTCTAGCGCCTCTTCAGCTTGTAGTAGCCGCTTCGACTCCGCTGAAGATACCTTGTGGAGGAGGTGACATTATGAAGAATATTGCAACCACCATCCCTTGGGTAGGCCTTGGCTTTGCAGGCTCTGCAAGCTACAAGCTGGAGGCCCCGCCCTTCCTCAAACCTGGGAGGTCAAGATCAGCACACAGGTCTTTGCAGAAGTGAGCCAAAGCCCGTAAGACTGCAGCACAAGCGGATGGAAGACCTGCATTGTGAGCAACAACTTCTGGCAGGGTTGCCCTCTTGTGAGCCCCAAATATCAGTGGCCGGCTTCACATGCCCCGCATTTGGAACACCGAAAGCCGCGACACGGGTCCCAACCCGCCTCCCAAATCAATGTGGGATTTCAATTTGAGAGGGTGGTGCTTCACAAAAACCATGAGGCCAGGTTGACCTAAACCCTTTTCGTGCCTCATCTGGTGGCGCAGGTGCACACCGCTCGCAAGTACAGTCGAACTGCTTCGTGCTCTTCAACGACCTTGCTGGACGCGCTGCAACGCAACACTCTGAACATACCTCGGTTCTGACTCGTCGTAAAACGAGTTTGAGGAGTTGGCTTCTGACTTGCTCCAGCCCAAGAACTCGCGAGTCACTCAAAAACACTCGGGCACCCTCTAGGCAAAGAGCATCTTGCTAGGCTCGTCCTGCTCTGATCCCTGTAGACCCATCATAGATATTCTGCGAAGAGAGCTCTTGCCAAACACCACTTTCGTGACTGCTTTGCTCAATTAATTCACCAGAGGGGCTTCTTGCGCTCTTCGGCAGAGTGCAGAAGCACATCCTCTGGAAGGTATGAAATGCACACCTGACAAATGCTGCGAACCGTGCAAACATTTGAGGCTCTGTTTGGCTCTGCTAGGCCGCTGCATGGCTCGCCTCGTCTCCAGGAGCGATGTCTCGCCTGGCCTGGCTCACAAGGTGACTGCCGCGCGCTCGGGTTGACACTGTAAACTTCACCCGAAGACTTTTCGAGCAGGCACCCCTGGTACGTTGTAAAGCTTCCTGCTCAAGAACCCTATATGACCTACTCTCTCAAGAGTGCGATTCTGTACTAGTTACTAGTCACTAGTAACATCCACTTAACATCCTGAAACTAAAAACTGCCGATCTTGTAGAATTGTCGCATATTGAAAGCACTTGCCATTGTGCATCTGGATTTGACGTGCCGTATCAGGTCTTTGCAAAATTAAAGGTTTGATGGATGCTGCTGAGAGTACTAAAGCTGCAAGCGGCGCTGCGAAAACTGGCCAGCTGCACCCGGAGGATGTGAAGCCCATCATCCCCCTCGCTCCAAATTCCATTCCTTAGCCGCGCGCCCCCTCCTCATTCTGATTTGTTGAGAACACCCAGACCCACACTCACTTCCTCGCAATTGTGCCTTCCTTTCTTCCGCGTGGGCACCACAGGAGTAGGCACCACCGGCGTAGGAGAAGGCATCACACAAAAAGCCGTGCGGTAAATTTGGAAGGCAAGGCTCGCGCCGCAGGAGTGGGACACGAAGGATGATGCAAAATAAGCAGAATAACCGAGGGGATCCTCCGAATGCTCAAAGCCTGAATCAGGCTGGTCATGTGAGTTGCAGGAGTAATGCACTTCAGAGTTGAATCCAAGTTGCAATTCAGGATCCAAGCCTGTCAGCGAGAATTATCAGAGCTCTCTTATCCGAGCTGGTGCCTATATGTCTCTCTCATGTATGTGTAGTTTCAATGGGCCTGCAACAGTTCCTCAACAAGAACTGCTGGCGTGGAGAGGCCAAGTTGCTTCACCAGCTTCTTCACTGCTTCTGAAGCCTGGCTTGGGCTTGGACCGACTCTGACTCTCCAGCCGACTGACAGGCATGTTCAAGAGGTGCGATTGGAGGACGTGCTTGATTGTGCTTGAGAGTGCGGGTTGGCAACAGAGGTGTTAGAACGATAGCTTCACCGAAATTGTACGAGTACACCCAACCCTCGTCAATCATGAACAGCAGCACCTCGTCAACCGGCTCGTGAAACAAGCAAAGCAAACGCTTCTGCCTGAGCTTGACATGTTGTGTTCTCAAAGGATTGATCCCACCGGGAGTAGGCCGAGTAGGCCTGACAACGTTGCGGCTGATGTTTATGGTCTTCAAAAGTCTCACTGAATTCAGCTGACCACTGACCCGCCCCATCTTCAGGGTTCAAAGCAACAAGCCAGGCAGCAACACAGTGACAGGAAACCTTCCAGTATGTCAACGGGTGCAGCAGAAGCTGCAGCAACTACAGGCTGCAAATAGTTGCAGATGAGCTTCTGCAAAGGTGTCACTGGCTTCAATGACCCTATCTTTGGTTTTGGCGACAGCTGCTCCTGGACATATTTCACTACTCGCTTGGACAGAATGGATTTGTTTTTGACGGGTCCTCAGTGAGGGAACATAGTGCCGTCCAGTACCACAGCGGCTCATAGTCGAAAACGGAGGGTTCCTCAGGCTACCACAGGCTACACTCCGCTTCGCTGAGACTCTTTCAGCTCCGTCAGAAAACCACGAGGCAGCGGCAGATTTGCACAATCGCTGTACCAGCTTGAACGCCTCTCTCTCTCTCTCTCCTTCTAGCTCTCTCTCTCTCTTCTTCTTCTTCTTCTTCTTTCCTCACTGCTCTACCCCCGAAAGGGGAGGGCAACACCCCAAGAAGGCGCACACTCCAAGTCCACGCACCGAACCATGCCCCGACTAACGAGCATATGCAGGTACACGAAGACCTCCGGTCATGGAAGCAAAAAGCCCAGCTCCAATAACATGATAACTGCGCATTCTCCCTTGTGTCCTGCATATGGACCTCGTCGCTTCTGGCATCGGCCGTGAGATCTCCAGTCACTGCAGCCACACTCTTATGGCAGGCTGCCCTGTGCACGTGACTGGCCGAAATTCCCACTGCGGCGCAAGCCGCATTAGACTAGACCTGTAAGGATGATACAACGATGCCCACACTAGTCAGCTCGCAAGCTTTGGCATGCGCACCACCTATCTGCATGACACTGGACCTCGCAGCGAGATGCTCTACCGGCACCTCTCCAAGCTTCAGCCCTAGCGCCCAACGCTGTATTTTGTCGGCGGATGACTGCTTATGCAACAAAACTGTCGCGCAACATCACGTCAACTACGAAGCAGCAGCATAACTCATCAGACTTGTTACGGCAGTCTACCAGCGGAGTTGGTTCTTTGGCATTGGCCTGGGGCTACAACTGCGAAACCCTCTTGTTTTTCTTCTTCGGGCTAAGCCGGCCCCTTACAGGGCGGCCGCCCCCGAGCCCAGCACAGGCGTCCGTTGGGCGAAGCCCTTTCTTTCTTTCTTTCGTTCGGGCTATGGGAGCAGGGTGAACCCGCCCCCGGGCTTCGCCGCCCAGCCCGTGTTGGGCTGATAGGATTGTTTACCCCTCTTGGTTTCCGTGGGGGCATTACCAATGTACATGTACGTTGGGGACCCTTGCTTCTAGTGGAGGTTGCCGCCCACTCGAAACTTCTAATGCAAGACGTTTGCTTGCTTGTCTTGGCTTCAGGGTCTTCGCCCACTCTCTCTCTCTCTCTCTCTCTGCCTGGCATCTTTGCACGAGCCCTGTGCACATGACCATGCCACCTCGTTTCCTGCTTCTTCAGCCACAATGTGCAGAGGTGGCTCCTTGCCAGCATGCTGTATTTTGCAGGCTTTGCCATTGGTGCAGGTGCCTCGAAGAGTAAGTCACCCTGAGCAATGGGAACTTTGGAGATCATAATCCTGCGCTGCGCGGATGGGTTCTAAGCGGTTAGCTTGGTCTTGCTGCCACGCGCACGCTGTGCTTCAAAGAAATTGTGGCAATCGAAGGGTCCTGCCCTTACCTTCTGCAAGCGTACACTCAAATCTGTCACCGAAATTCTCGTGGCAATACTCGTTGATGGTGTCCTGGATTAAAAAAATCATGCGCCACAGTTACTGCCAGAAGACCGCAGGCAAGAGTGCAAAGGAAGGGCCCGCTGCAGCGCAATGATAACTCATATCATACTGCATCAACTCAAAAACCTCACTGTCACATCTTTGTCTTCAATGCCGCCGTGGCTCTATGTCCCACTCTTCCATCTTTGCACTTGGCCACTGCGGCCCTTTGCACAGTCACGCTCAATGTCTGCACTTGATCTCTTCCGAGCAGTTTAACATTAATCAAGGGACCAGCTTCTGGCGGCGATCTGGGACATCCGGCAAACAGTTTTTGAGCCAAGCTGCAAGGAACAATCTTGTGCATGGCTTTCGGTCTTAACGGCTAGCCGTGCGTTTCCTGTGGGGTTGGGTTTCTGAGTTCCACGCGGCTGGAAGGAATGCTGACCTCGCAAAGGACTTTCTGAATTTCAGATCACTCAAGTGAACACAAGATCCAGCCTGCCAGATCCTGTTGAGAAGCATGCAACTCCGCAGGGCTCCAGAAGGGCGGCTAAATGTTGCCGTTGGCTGGTATTGCTATTGACTGCTGTTCCTTCTGATGTTGCTTTCCCAGGACGCTGACGAATTCACGTCCAATCTTGCAAGGAGTCTATTCGCAGTATTCTGTGTGAGCAACAGAGACTGCTTGGGACGCAAACTGTGCTGCCAACTCACAGCTGGGTTGCACTGAGCGCAGCTCGCAGATTGGTGAACCAATTGGTGAACGTGTGTGCTCAAGCAATGCCTCTCGAACCATCTGCAGTTGTGCCGCATTCCAAAGGTCCTTCAAGGCGCAACTGCGCGATACCAAGTACAGCCCATTTCTGCCTAGATGACGTGCCAACTCATGATTTCTCAGTCCAAGTGTCATCGTGAGTTTTGGCATTCTCCAGCTCCTGGCTACCACTGCAACAACTGGCGTGGAATGTGACCGGAGATGCAGGGATGCAAGCACGCCACGCCCGCACACACACACACACACACACACACATCTACCTGCCTCCCTGGTGTAGACATGCTCTCGCTTGTCTTTGGCATGATCCTTTTATCGTGCGTTGTTTGAGCTGTAGCCATGATCAAAAAAAACACTTCCCAACTCCGGACAGTCCTTCAATGTTTGCTGAGCCCAGTTTGCTGCTCCTTCCAATTTGTCGTAATTCACCTGGTAAACAGTTGGGGCTTGCTTGGAGCCAGCTCACACTGCTAAGAGGCTGGCATTGTAGAAGCAAAAGTTGTCCGACCTTTGTCTCAGGCATCTGATCACGAGTGCCTTTTGGTAATATGTTGATCACACGAGAACTCAATGCTAACTCTGGGCAACCAACAGTTCTCGTCTCACAATGCTCTCCTCAATGAACGCCTCGCCTGTGCAGCGCGACAATATTCAATTTGCTCGTCGTAGATACGCCAGAGTGACAAGCAAAGCCGCTACGTCTGTAATGTGAACTACAGTAACAAGCTGAACAAGCCCTCCGTTCACATCTTAAGAGATGCTACCAGGTTGTATGTAAGAGCACATGACAATGGCCACCCAGAAGCGGCTCATGCCTGGTAATCTGAAGTATACACCCTCTTGGCGCTGGCTATGGAATGCGTATATGGAAGACTCTCTTGGCGTTGGGCAGCTCTTCTTCTCGCTTGCTGTTGCAGATTTTGCTTCACCAATTTGGCGCACGCGCAAAGCCTTAGGCCAGCATGCTTGCGATGCTCCAAACTGGGAGCTCAAGTCACAATGCTCATCAACGATCCTGAGCTTTGCGCACATCTCTGTGCAGAGATTTGCCCTTTGCAGTTGCAAAACGTGGCTCTCCGTGCTTCGATACTTGAAACCAACAACTCACTGCTGCAGTCTTGCATTTCCCCTCTGGCTGTCAAGTCTCCAAAGTGCAGCCAGGGTGATAACCCAGACAAGGCATTTTCCTCAGTGGAAGGCATGATCACCATTCGGACTGCCGCAATGGCTCAGAGTTTGCCGCGCGATGCGAAAGCAATCCGGGGAGCTCGGTCTCCTGCATTTGGATTGTTACGATGTGCGTCGTACCTCCGGAGAGACGGGCTGCGCGCATCCGAACGCTCCGCTGGCCTTCTTTGTGGCTGTTTTGCCTCGAGAGGCGCTTGCAGAAATCCTCCAGGGCAGCCTTTGCTGCTTTGGCGCCGGCCCTGAAGGCTATCCGAAGCACCAGGACTTAATGCACAAGTGAATGCTGTAGCAAGCAGCGTGATGTTTGCAACTGGCTGGACCGATTTGTCCACCTGGACTGCTTGTCATAGAAGTTGGAGGCGTTGAAAGTTGTCATGCAGTACAGCACAGCCTGCAGCGACTTCTCTGCCTGCTCCCAATCGACTTTCCCAGCGCTGCCCTGGGTCAGAGCCACAAGTTTACTCTGCATGCCTCATCACATTCACCGGCATTCGGACAGCGTTGCGCAAGTTTAGGCTAATTGGATATGAATGGCGTGCGATTGAGACATTGTCCTTCGGCTTGTGCGGATGCCGCTCCACACTCGGGAACTCTGTCAGATACGTTCCTAGCCTCGGCCCGAGCCAATCACCATGACACGAACCCCATGTCAACTGTTTAGGCTGCTGCGGTTGCATAATCTTCTTCCGAATTGTTCTTGCCTGGGCTGCATTCTGCAGGGGCTGCGTGCAGAGCAATTCAACTAATCTGGATCCTGCACTCGTCCAGCTGGAATAGCTTATTTTCGAATCATCCTGGCTGCTTCCGCGAGATGCAGGCCGCAGCTCTGAACTCATGGTATGTCACGGTATGTATCCAAACTTGTACATGTAGTAGACGCGCTGGAACGTATCACGCGAAAACCCGCCCTACTTCCCAAGGGCAAAGCTACACTCCCTCTGTCACTGCACAACGGCGCCCGAGAAAAACAGTGAATGTAAGATGGGACTTCGCCACAAAGTGTTGAGCAGTATTGAGGTGATGATGAGATTCAACTACATGGATGTGATCTTGCAACAGAAGCCTCCAGAACTACTGGGGTTGCTATGCTCTCCGCTGAAGTGGGGTTCCTGAGTACATCCGACCAAACAAAAAGACCGAATCGGTTCTGAGACGTTTTGGCTACTTTGCAGGTCACAAACAAAATATCAGGAGCCCAAGAAACAGAGTAGCGATATGGCAAGTGCAGGTATAAAGTATAAATACATAGTAGAATAAGTACACTGAAAAGATAGAGAAAGCTAGGGAAATGCAGTGCGGACGCCCTTGAGAGACATGTCACAAGACAGAACAGGATATGCAAAGGACAGGTGACATGGTAGAATCTGGGAATCCCCAGCGTGACGCACTCATGAGACGCCCTTCGCCTACACTCAACGCCTTAAGTCAAGCACCTTGTAGCGCGCAAGATGAATTGTATCCTGGGTACGTGTCTTACTTCACGTCATTTTGCTAGCCACACTGCCGTTACGCTCTAGAAACGTGTGCGTGCCTTTTCCTTTGGGAGCACAATTTGGCTGCAAGTAATTTCAGGGCCGGATGAGTCTACACTCCCGAAATTTGCATTTTTGGGGTAGCGCTCTCAGAGCAGGTCTTGATTATGCAGTTGAATCGGAATCATGGGTTGTCTGGCCGACGTTGACTTCGGGGAGAACAGCTCCGCTAAAAGATGATAAAAGCGCGAGGAAAAGGAACGCGTGCATTTTAGGCCAATCACTGCGCGACAAGATGAAAATGCCACGATATCAGCAACAACAACCTGCAGCACCATTCCATATCACTGCAGCTTCCCTTGCTTGGGCCCAAGCAGCTGTTTCTTGCTTGTCTGACCTAGGCCACTTTCACGACTGGGCCGCCAAATGCTGGATAGAAAGCACCTACACCGAGGCCACAGCGCAGCCCATACGGGCACAACGTTATGCGCGTCAACCTTCAGCAAACGAAGCCTTTATTTGTTCCCTTTATGCAAAGCAAGTTCAAATTCCAAAAGCCTGCACCACTGGCACCTTGCGAGGAGGTACAGGTAGTGCTGCATCAACAAAACAGCTGCTGATCCAGTCCCTTGTGCGGAGCTTTAGCGATTTTTTTCCTGCAGTTCAACTTGCAACACGCCCCTCCAAAACACGAGGGGCACTCACTGGGATTTGAGAATGCTTTAGCAGACTCGTCCAGCATTGTTTTCCAGAAGCAGCGTGACCATCCTCGATCATCCTTGTGACCATTGCCATTCCAAGCTGACGTCCAAGGGCATGTCCGTCCCTCTAACGGTCGCCCACAATGCCTCAACTCGGCCAGCTGATCTCTTGTTCAAGTGACCGTTGCCTGCTTGCACGCTCACCAGCAGCGGGGTAGCCAATGCAAACATATCGGAATACACCTCTGGTTCCGGGAACTGCTCCTGGCACGGGCCAACACCTGCATCTCTCATGCGTCGTACGTGAGGCTTGGCTGTTGAAGGCACTGCATTCACGACGTGCCCTCAACGCGAAACATCTTGGCCCAAGATGTCTCCGCAGCGCTGCAGCGCCAACTCACAGTGCTCTTCTAAACCTGTTGGTGCCAAAGAAGAGGCCCCAAAACGCCGTACATGCACAAGTGTCCGCTTGGATTGCTGGATGAGCATCTGGTGCGCTGCCAAGGCATGCGCAGCATGCGCCTGAACCGTTTCCTGCATCTTGGACATTTGCTGGGCGTGCAAAGCTTCGCGTCTCCTGCTTTGAACTTCCTGCGAAGCGCGCAGCACATGAAGCATTTGGGAAGGGCCTTCCATCGTCAGGATGTGGCTGAGGCGGTGCCAATTCATCGCACAAGTGGATTGCTTCAACTGGAGCTGAAAGGAAGTTCTTGTCCCAGCGTGTGCAAATGTCATGAAATCTGACAACATTCGGCGAGTCCCGTGTGCTGTGGCTTGCAAGTAAAGGTAGGTGGCAAATCGTGCCCACCAAGCCAGCGCCACTTCGGCTTGTAAGCCAGCCAGATGTGGCCGCATGGTAGAGTTTTCCAGTGCTATGTGCTGGACCGCCCGCTGCTGCGTTGCCACTGCATTGAGCACGTATTGGTTGCAAACTCGATGCTGTAGCTGGAAAGTGAACAGCACCAGCAGCTGCCACCTTCTCATTGCTGCCTCTTGCACGCCAACGGTTGCAACTTCAGCAGCTGCTTTTGCTGTGGCTATATCCATCTCCTCAAGAGCTCGTAGCGAGTCCGCATGGCGGTCTGCCTCCACTTGCTGAAGATGGAGCTCTGACATCCTTCGCTGAGATGCCGCTTGGCTGGTGACAGTCTTCAGGTTGGTGAAGCTGGCATCAGACTGGTAGCTGCGCAGGATGCTCAGGGTGATTCGGGCCCAGCGCTCTTCTCTGGAAAGCCGTCTTTGAGCTTCCAACTCGCGCTTGCACTGCTGCAAATCCGCCAGTGTTTCATCCGCTTTCAATGCTGCTGTCGATGCTGCCTGCTTTGCTGCCCCGATGTGTTGGCGAATGGCAGCCTGCTGGTGTTTCCCTTCTTTGGCGTGAAGCTGGAGCAGAACCATTCGAGCCCATATCTCCTTGAGGTAGCGATGTTGTGTCTCAGCCGCAGCTTCAGTTCTGACGTCATGCTGGATAGAGGCGCAGCGCCTGCCGACCCATGCGGAAATTCCCCGATGATGGTGAGCCCATGCTGCAGGCAACATTTTCATGGCCACAAGCTGGAGCATAAAGCGCACCCAATCCAGTTCCGCTGACCTTTGGCGCCTGGACTTGTCAAGCAAGTTGCGGGACTCCTCATGAGAAGCTCGAAGCCTGGTTGACACAGCCCGCGCCATGCCTGCTGTTGCAGATATCCGATCTTCAATGCCGGCTTCTCGAAGTAGCTGTAACACCAAACTTATCCATCTCGGAAGAATCGCCCACAACGCAGCAGCAGCTGAAAATTCTTGACTGTGTTCCAGAAATTTGCTCCTTGCAGTGGCAGAATAGTCTGCGAAGGCTACAGCATGCTCTGCCTCTGCGACTGCTTGCTGCAGAGCTAGTACAAGTCTGGCCCAGCTCGAGGTGACGTTGGATGATGCTTTGGTGCTGTGCACTGCTTGCGTGAGGACCTCCTGATGTTTGGAATGTGCCACGAGGGACAATCGCCCAACTTGCGTCAGTCTGTCGGAGGCCTTGCAGGGAGCAAGCTTGACTTGTCACGTGAAAGCGTGGCGAAGGCATTCGGCAAGAATCCGCGCTGCAGCCTGCTCTTCTGACACGAGCTTGGCGCACAAGGCTACCCATCGAAGCTCAATGATCTTGGACATGCGTCTCCTCTGTGCGTCCTGCCAACGCGCGTGACATCTTGGTCTTTCATAAGTTATCCCTGCTGCACCATGCTGCACATGCTGCACCGATTTCCTCCTTCACCTTGCCCAGAGTGCCAGCCACTTCATCGCTGTACTCCTACATGTGTGCTCACATGACCCTCATCTGGCTCATCTCTAGGGCATCAATCTGTGGGCCTTGTTGTCCGAACTCCAGCTGAGTCCCAGCGCAAACATGACCCAACCTTAGCTGGCCAAAAATTCCTGCCACGGGGTGGTGGAGCGAAGAAAGTAAGTCTCATGGTTCAAGCCAGCTGCGAAACAGCAGCTGCCGGGAGCGAGCCTGCAACCATCAACTTGCAAAGCTCTTGAACTGCCGCTAGTACTTGTGCCAAGTTGCCTGTTGGTTTGCCACATGAGCTTTTTCCACCATGTGAAATTCCACCTTCAAGCAGTTGTGTTTGAAGCCCCACTGTTACAAATCAATCGTCACAGCTAGACCTGATCATCGCCAGCAATTTTTTTTGCAACACAAGCATAACCTGAAAAACATGCTTGGGCTCATGAGAATCCCCAAGTTTACGCAGAATGCACGAAGCGCCGTCTGAAAAATCTAATTCCTTTGCCATTACAGGTTCGAATGATTGCCCGTCTTCCGACTTAGTCAAGCATTTAGAGGAAAGCAGATTGGAATGCAGAGAGGATACTCTAACACAGCTCATATTAATGTGGGAATGCCAACCTGGCAAGAATCAGCAGATGATTTTGTGATGAAAATCCAACATATCGAAATTCACGCCATTCCGCCCCACATGTCCTGATTCGCCCTTGGGCTCCCATGCGGTATCTGCACTGCGTCGAGCGCTTCAAAATCCATGGGTCTCTGGGAACTTGTCATCACATGAGCGAACAGCCAAGTGCGCTACGTAAGACGCAAGCACTCTCAGAAGGCAAAGCATGAAGATGCCTTTCAGATTTTGTGGCAGCACGTGCTCCTTGGCAGTGTTTGTGGTGTTGGCATACATTGTTTGCATCTAAATTCATGTTGGGCCTGTGCTGCCTGCCAAACTGCAGAGCCGACTTTAAACCAGAAAGCGACAACAACAGAATGACTTTATCACTAAGGACATCAAGTACCTGCCGCATCCTGCCGCACTCACTGGCTGGCTTCATGGGCACCGCAAGATCTATCTTTGGGGGTCCGTGCTGGGCTTCCTTCAGCCTATGTGCTAGAGACATTGAATCGCTTGCTCGCCTCCTTCTCCGCGGAAATTTGTGTTGCCTGGCAGGGATGCTCTTTCCATCGCAATCAGTAGAAAATCGAACAACTCTGCTCATCTCTCTTCACCTGCAGAACTGCATACGCTTCACCCACTCGGAGAATGCTTCAGGGAGGCGACGTTTTGTGGGCATTGATTTTTCTACGCCTGGTGTTGGTTTTTTTGTTTGGTTTGGTGGCTTTTAAGGGGGTCGCCATCCGTGATTAACTGCCATCGCTTATATAGAGCCCCGCGTCTTCGTCATGTGTCGCGGGGGATCGGGGCCTGCAGGTCTTCATCCTTGTATTCTGGTGTCCTCCCAGCATCCATTGCTTTGGACCCTCGTGCCCTCATTGCGCCTCAAAAGTGTTACCATTGGGATGGATGAGGCATCTTGGTAACGATCATCGCGTTTATGAATGTCAGTCGATTCATAACCGTAACCGTCTAATGGTAAGAGACAAATGATAGCCAACAATGACGACACTCATACAACCATAGTAGTGCATGCGAACCTTACCGACCAGAAGCATGACGTTCAAGAATCACGACAAGGGTTGCCACCGGGTGCAATTGTTAAGACTGTCAAGAAAGAAGACATGTGAAATGATGGGAAATGATGTAAACCGGTACAAAAACGAGTAACGGACTAACAATGATGAACAACTACAGAAAGTGATGGAACATGATGAACAATGACCACCTTCCTTCTTTCCTTGTTTCCTTCCTTCCTTCGGTGGGGCCTCGCGAATCAGAAACGAGAGATCAATTTCGAGCCAGGAACCTGCGCGGTCCGCACCCCCCCCCAACAAAAAGAACATATGAGATACCGCCCACAGACGTAGTACTGACGTAGTAAAACAATATGCGCAGAATACGACTCCGTGCTTCATTCCTCGAAATCAAACAGCTTCCCTACCTGTAGCACGAACCTACTTCCCCCCAGCCCCAGAGCATCTGACAGCTGAACAAGCAACGTGCACCTTGAAGAGCAGCTGCACAAAACGAATCCATGAGTCCATCGCCTTCTTGCGAAGGGTCACAAGCGCAGGACAGTGCTGGAGAAACAAGACGCAGTGTCTCACAGTGCCACTGAACAAGCCGAAAGCTTGGTCGGAAACACGCCGGATCTTGAGCATCTTTGCTGCCTCAATCTACATCTCTATCCCTGCATTTTCGAGTCCAGCTCACGACGCAAGCGGAACGGGGCGGCCTGCTCCACATCTTTCTGCATTGAAGTCATAACAGCGGATGCCCGTTCTTCACGATCCCTGAGCAGTCCACTCACGTCGGAGACCACGGACGCCTGCATTCGCACATGCAAGCGTGTCTACTTGCTGTGATTGCAAGGCTGCTGCAAGTCATGGCAGATGGAAGCCTCCATTCTCCATGTTTCCGCTTGTGCAATGACGTGTGCAAGAACAGTCCATCGCTGCAGGACCTAAATGGCTCAGATGCTGCCAGACACTCGGGCAAATGGAGGACCTAGCATGTGGCAATTCTTGCAGTTCTGGCGGCCTTGCTTTCATATGCATCCTTTGCGGCCTGCACTTCTCCAGAAACACATCTGATTAGCCTTTGCACCCGAAACAGTAGCGTCGAGGAAGAAGAGCAAGCCTCACATGACTCACAGGTAGGTGCGACACCTGCTTTGCCAGCCCTTCTGCCGAGCTTAGAGTGGCCATGGCCAGCGTCTGCCTTTTCTGTGTCAAACGCGAAGCATGATGGACCTGGAAGCAAGCACTCCAGACTGTAGCCAAGCATGACCGGACAGACTAAGCACGCCTGCTCCTTTACGAGCGTGGCGCTGAGCCCGTGGACCAATCGGGTCCAGTGGGCCCTTACCTTGGCAAGTGCCAGCAAAAGAACTCTGAGGGATGCGGGAGCGACCGCGCGACTGCGCTTCGCTTCGCGATGCTTCGCTCTTGTGAGCAAACCGGGGATTGGTCATGGGCGGACATGACCGGCAGCCCTTTGTTAACGAAGTCTTCGCCAGCAGGCTAGTTCGAACGAAGCACAACAACACTATGTTAACTTCGGGTTAGTAAAGGGGGTCGTAGTAGAGCTAAATCAATCCTGAACGAAATAATGTGAATGGGTACGTATTAAAGCTAAATCCGACGTGAACGAATTAATAACAATTCAGGAACGGGATAGTGCCGTGCTTGGGTTCAGGATTACCTGTTTAAAGGTTAGGGCTTAGAGCTTAGGGTCAAGGGTTGCCAGTTCAATTACAGGCTAGGCTTTAGGGTTTAAGTAAAAGTTTGAGGTTGAGGAGTTCATCAAGGTTTGGGGATCGGGGTTCAAGGTTCAGGGTTCGAGGTTCGGGGTTTAGATGTAATTGAAGGCTCAGGGCTCAGGCCTGGGCCGGCCACCCCAAACAAATATTCCGACATTTGATTGGGGATTCCTTGGACTATTCAGAATCGTATTAGTTAGGGGGGAGGGGTTAGAACCCCCCATTAGCAGGCTTAGATGAATGTTGGCAAGCACAGAATGCTTTGGAGGAAACGTAGACGAGGTGCCGAAGCGTTTCAGAGCTCTGGGCCCCACACTGCTCTACAGGCCACTTCAGACACGTTCCCGTGTCGCAACGACAAATGCGAGTTGGCCGTTCGAGTTTTTTCGGCAGACTCTGGCAAAACATCAATTTACACACATTCCTGCCACCTGGCCTGAGTTTCCTGCGTCGACCCGACTGCCCTTGTCACCTTTCCCACCTGCTTCATAAGCTATGCAACCTTGCAGAAACTGCATTGCAGCTGGGGTGCTTTTAGCTTCTCAGCCGCCCACCCGCGTACAAGGTTTCTACTCAGAGATGTCAGTGCTAGCTCAGCGATCCTTGGCCAGTTCTTCAGGATCTCTTCGACTTCGTGGCCACATTTTGTGATCCTGCGAAATTCCACGTCTGTGATGCCACATACAGGCTACAGAAGTTGCCGCGAAAGCCGATGAAACTAATGGTCCTCACATCAACCAGCTCCAACCTTGGTCCGACCGGCCAACGGCGCATCCAATACTGATCAAAAATCTTCAAGGCAAGACACACCCACTTAATCTCCAATCCCAGCATGGAACTGAAGTGTGCAAACATCCGACAAGGCCCTAGATGAGCCTTAGGCTAGGGTACAGTTTCAATTTCCGCTGGGAACTGTTGTTGGGCTTGCTGGATGTTTCATCCATTTTGAGCAGGGGAGGTGGTTGGAAGCGAAAGGTGATAAAAAAAAGGAACAAAGCGTCTCAGGAAAAAAAACACTTTTTACTCAG